CGGGCTCCATCTATTGTATTAAATATTATAGCCTGCTCCTTGTTAGGGTATTTGGATATCTGGCGGTTGAGAGCTCGGGAGTAATTTAGTGGTGAGTTGCTGTTTTGAGTTTCTGTAGGAATATTAACGCCTTCCATATTGTTAGTATACGTATTCTTCTGACTCAAACCTTCCTTGCACCATTTCCAGTACGGACCTGTCCCCGACTGTGAACAGACGTGGAATTCCTTGGAATTTCGTAGCAAACGGATGGTTCTAGTTTGTAGCGATTTGTTTATGCACGTACTTTATGTTGAAAACAAATTATTTCAGGATTCTGTAATGCAGTACTTACAGTCTGATGCTAGCTGTTAATGTCTACGTAGAAATCGAAACGAAAAATTAACTAAATTCACTATAAAATCCTATAGATTTACGGAGCACAGATCAGTAGCTGCTGAGCTAAACTGGGCAGGTACGGACGTCCGTGTTGCTGCTGCTTTAAAAATTAGTTTAAGGACAGTTATTCGTATTTCCGAGGGTGTGAAAAGTGATGCAAATTTAGAATCGCCCAAGAAAAAGCGGAGTTATATTAAACGTGTAACCAACACAGCGACATTGGATACAAGTGCCATTCGAGAAGTGATCTATAATATGTATCACAAAAGTAAGATCTTATTATAATAACTTATCAGAAATTTGCATTAATTTGTTAACTAAATTATAATGTCATATTACACATGGTTTCAGAAGAACAAGTTACGATACAAACTTTATGGTCTCGATTAAGAGATAGGGCATTATTTGATGGTAGTGCCACGTCTTTAAGGCGGTTGTTTAGAGATCTTGGATTTAAGTGGCTTAAGGACAATCCGCGACGAGGGCTCATGGAACTACCAAGTATAGCTTTGAAAAGGGTGGAATTTCTAAGGCAATACAATCAAGCCAAGGTTGAGGCCTTATACCAGTTTGTCTTCCTCGATGAAACTTGGATATTTCAAAATGGGACCATAGGTCGCTCTTGGCAAAATGGAAACCAAAAAAGCGTGAAAGCTATTAAAACAGATGGTAAAAGGTATGTACTTTTACACAATTTGCACTATAAAATTTAAAACTCATATATTTTAGATACATTATATTACATGCTGGAAATGAAAATGGGTTTATTGAGGGTAGTGAAGCGATATTTTCTTCGAAAACAAAATTGAGCGATTACCATGGAGAGATGAACCAGGACAATTTTTTGAAATGGTTTCAACATCAGTTATTAGAAAAATTGGAGAGTCCATCTATGATTATACTGGATAACGCCCCTTATCACAGCATGATATTGAAGAAAGTGCCCAACAATGCATGGACAAAAAAAATATCCAAGACTGGTTGACAAATCAAAACATACCATTTTTAAACACAATGTTTAAAACAGAGCTATTGAGTATTGTTGCTCGGTACATAATGCTTCTTAATTATATATATTTTGGTCGACAGTTTATATTTCTTTTGTTTATTCCTATTCTTAAAATAAATGCTTTTTTAGAAACAAACCACCTAAAATATACGTGATTGATGAATTGGCGGAACAACATGGGCACAAAGTTCTTCGTCTGCCTCCTTACCATTGTATATTTAACAATATTGAGTTAATTTGGGGCATAGCAAAAGGTTACTATAAGAGACATATTGGTAGAGATGGTAACAGTGAAAAAGACTGTTTGGATATGTGGAACGAGGCTCTACAAACGGTTACCCCAGACATGTGGAAATATAGTGTTCGACATACTGAGCAAGAAATTTTTAAATGGTATGAAAGAGAACGAATTTTTGATCGACCAGACATCGAACCTTTAATAATCAACTTTGAGAGTGATGAAGATTCAGATTCAGACAGCGCTGAAGAAAGAAACTCCGACTAACTTTATTGTACAGAAAAAGCTTACACCAATAGCTTACCTAATTTTAGAATGCATTTTTCTGTATGAATTCTGTAAAATAAATACCATGCATAAAATTTGGAGGACCCCATTTGGATTTTTATTCAGTACCTTTAAGCTATCAATTAAATATGGTAGTTTCATAGTGTCATCTGATCAATAATTGTCATACTTAATGATTATGCAAGTACAGATCTATAATTTTATTATACTATTATTTTTGTTCTCATTTGAGGTTAATATTGCTTATAAACCTAGATATGTAAATAATAAATTTTATTATTTTACAAAAAGTTTGGCAACAATGTAAATTTTTCAACACACCCACCTTGATGACGTGCATGCCACTTTGTTTGGCGTTGACTATAGAAGCTTTTTCATCTCGTGTCACAAAGTTTCAATAGGTGACAGATCTGGACTGCTAGAAACCCATTTCAAAAGTGGTACATTATTTTCTTCCATCAATTTTACAGCCTTTTTTGAGGTATGGCACGGTGCACCACCTTGCTGAAACACAAAATCTTGGCCGGATGTCAAACATTCTTCCGTCACTGGTAAAAGCGATTCTTCTAAAATTGTCAAATATTTGTTTGTATCCGCATTTCCATCAATAAAATGAAGTTTTCCTACTCCTTTTGTTGACGTACTGCCCCAGACCGTAATGGATGCTGAAAATTTCACTTTTCTCTTCAGACAGTCAACATGGAATGGTTCATTTTTTTGCGAATAACTCTACTGCGACTGTCACCAAGACAAACTTTTTTTTAACGTTAATTTCTGCAGTAGATCTCCAAACGATAGCATTGTTTAATAGATAATTAGGAGGTCTATTAGATGATTTATCACAAACTTTTTCTTCTTACTCAAACATCTGGGAATTTTTACCTTCACTCAAATTTTGTCAAGTATACGAGCTAACTTTGTAGTAAAAATCGAAAATCCACTGACTTTTGGATTTCGCAATGGTAGCGATAATGAATCGTCCGGTTTTCGCTGTTCCGGAAGCATCGATTTCGGGCTTGGTCTATAAAATAAGCACGGAAGCTGGCTAGCTGAACGTTTTAATCTTTTTTCGTCCGCATTGCTTCCGTTTTAGAAAAGCAAACTCGGCTTGACCTACTTCAGAACCACCTGATTTTTGGAACAAGCATAATAAAAATTATTTTTATTTTTTTATTTTTAGACAAATTGCCAAGGAGAAATAAAAAGACGTGTCCAGCCTGGCATCTGGAAAGCAATCTGCTAGTTCAATGAACTGATGTTCGTATCGAAAATAACTGCAAAGTTATAGTTTCTTAGAAGCAACTAATACTCTTTTAAACTTGAACAGTTGTTACAAGTAAGAGTATTACTAGAGCTATTAAAAGATTTTGGGCGAAAACGCAATTTTATGTCGAATTTTATAAAAGTATGTTGAAAATCAAGGTGTGGACACAGAATGTGCCCTGCAGCTATTATTTCGGGAGATTATAATGAAAAAAGAAAGTCAACTAATCGATTAAAGCCCCTAAAAAGCAGAATACGAGCCCCTTCCCACATCAGTTGGCCCAACTATTGAAATCCTAGTGTTTTTGTTATCAAACACAAATAATAAAAATGTAGCAGAGTGTTGTAGGTTTAAAATATTAACAATGAATATTTTGATAATATATAGTAGAAAACACCACCTAATCAAATTTGCAGCATAAAAATAACACATGTTGCAATTACAGCATATCAACCTATTTTCATTTCAATGCAAAATAAGTCTATAACGCATAGGTGGCTGTGAAAAATAAAAGCAATGACAATTGTTTTTATTAATCACAGCTGTCAGAATACGTTTAAAATAGTTTTGGGTAGTTAAAGTTTTCAAAATGGGTGGAGAAAAGGTTATTAGTGAGAAAAGTCGGCGTGCAATACAATGGAGTGATGAGGCCCGATTCAAAGTTTGTGTTGGTGACAGTCGCAGGAGAGTTATTCGCAAAAAAAAATGAAGCATTCCATGTTGACTGTCTGAAGAGAAAAGTGAAATTTCCAGCATCCATTATGGTCTGGGGCAGTATGTCATCAAAAGGAGTACGAAAACATCATTTTATTGATGGAAATGTGGATACAAACAAATATTTGGCAATTTTAGAAGAATCGCTTTTATCAGTGATGGAAGAATGTTTGACATCCGGCCAAAATTTTGTGTTTCAGCAAGAAGGTGCAGCGTGCCATACCACATAAAAGGCTATACAATGGATGGAAGAAAATAATGTATCACTTTTGAAATGGTTTTCTAGCAGTCCAGATCTGTCACCTATTGAAACTTTATGGCACGAGATTAAAAAGGTTCTACGACAACATCCTGCTCGTACAATCACCGAACTGAGACAAAAGCTTCAAGAAATATGGGATTGTTTTACACCAAATTTTTGAGAAAACTTGTTTAACACTGTGCCCCCAAAGAATTTCAGCCGTAATAAAATATAAAGGTGATGTTACCCAATGGTAATCTTTCAATTGTTGCTTTGTTAACTTTGCGCATTTATTCGCACAGTATTTATTTGTTTAGATGTTCTATTAGTTATAGGTCTAAGTGATTTCAAATATGTATTTTTTACGACTAGAGTGTATCTAAAATGTTTTTGATAAAATAAATTGTTTTAGAAGTAAATAGTTTCGTCATGTTTAGTTTATAAAGGGAAGGGGCTCGTAGGTATACTCTTGAAGCCAGTTAAAGCCTAGACTTAGAAATTAGTTGCTTTATAGCAAAGATAAAGAAGAAAAAAATGAAATATTTGACAAACTGATAGAAACGGAAATAGAGGAAATAAGAACCTATGCTCATCATCCCCGATGCCTGTTCGTATTTATTTGTTGTTAGCAACGGTTTCAACCAACGCCACCCATTGATATAACACCATCAATTTATTAACTTTAAAGACCAAAAATAAACTACAGCGAATCGCACGTGAAATTCTTCATATATCTCGGGCGAGATGAGCGTGTATGTCCTTTGGCGTCTTAAAGCTCCTTGGACCCCAATTTCAAGCCGCGGGCCATAAATGGCCACTTAACACCCTAGGTACATAAATGAATTACTAAGACATACTGAACAAGCTGCTGGTGAGCTCAACATTTTATTCATCCTAACAAATCACATATCACCGAATCATTGCGTTTAAAATATGTCGCAGTTCAACTCCTTAGATGGCGATGGAAGCTTTGGTTGCACTTTCCTTGCCTCTGTAATCGCACGTTCAATCACAGCATCATCTCTAGTCTTACTTCTGGTCAGTACATACGAGAAATCTGGAACTTAAATAGTATCTGAGGCATCCCTTTTAGTTGTAGGAGTAGAACTAAGGTATCTGTGTTATACAGATGAATGTTTACACACGTCAAATAGTCAATAAAATTTGAAACATATACTGGACAATTTGTTAGCCAGTGTATGAAGCAATAAATTTTTTAACTTCGACCGAATATCTAAACAATGGACAATCATTATATGTTATTAGACTTCTTGTAATTTAGAAGGTCTATTTAAACATGCAATAAAATATAGGGTGTTCTATTTAAAAAGATATATGTTTGCTCTGGCACAAAATTATGAAAGTATTCTTAAATATGCATCAGTAACATATCAAGGTTGCAACTAACGCAGATATTTTGGATATATTTTCCAGTTTGCTCATAAAACCTCTTCCCATTTTCGTTGGGACACCCTGTGTATAAAATGTATTCTCAACTTACACACATCGGATACGCAGTCATAGAATACTGCGTACGAATCATAATCCACCGCCAGGTATGAAACTAGAATCCCTGAAAAAAAGAACATCATTGTTGTTAACCACTACAGTATATTCAGATAAGAGATAGACCGGATGTAAACAAAAGGTTCGGGTGATTTTCACGCTAATGCCGCCGTCTCGACGTAAAACAGGAGCCCTCATTGGTCAATTCGCAATTAAATGCCTATGCCGAGCAGCAGAGCAGTCGTATCAAGGCAGAGTCACACTCAGGTTCAGACGTGTTACGTATGTCGTGTGCATCATTGCAATTTGATATTTCTTTGGACGTTTTCGTTTGTTATCTTATTAAGTTGTTGAGTTTGTCGTTGTTATTGTTATACCTTGTTATTGATTGTTATTGTTATCAACTGCTTGCGCAAAATGCCCAGTAGTACAGATACTGCCGATGAAGTTGTAAACTCCTGTAGTCCACCTAGGAAACGCTCTAAAAAAAGACACCTGAGTGCAGAAATGAAAGAGGTCATTTTGAATATATATAAGATCGAGCGCGAGGAGAACGAGGCATCAACCATCAAAGAAATTGTTGTGAAGGTTTCTCACAAAGTTGGGGTGTGTCGCGCATTAGTGTTTAATGTGACAATACAAAAAAAATCACACCTTTTCTGAGCCAATGACCAGTAAACATCGCAAAAGTATTGTTAAATCATTGGATGAAGCTGATAAGCATGCGATTAGGAGGAAAGTGCATGAATTCTTCTTTAGGAATGAAATACCTACTATAGATAAAGTACTGCAGGAGGTAAATGGAGATACAACGTTGCCAAATTTCAAACGATCAACTTTCCATGCGTTACCGAAGCATTTAAATTTCAAATGGAAAAAACGGGGTCGTAATAGTTCACTACTGGATAGAGAAGAAATTGTGCTATAGAGGAGGGATTATTTAACAAAAATTGGGAAATATAGAAATCAAAACAGGAAGATTTATTACCTTGATGAAACGTGGGTAAACGCAGGACACACTACAAGTAAAGTATGGGTTGATGATTCTGTAACTTCATCCAGGAGGGCCTTTCTAGATGGACTGTCCACCGGATTAAAAAATCCAGCAGGTAAATACGAGTAATAGACAACAATCGGATGTTTTTCAAACCTTGGGAACAAGGTTCTAAACATTAATTCCAGGGGGCAGATAAAACATATTACAAGTAACAAAACTTTTATAACTTTGGATAAAATGCGTGGATGTTTTATTGTCATTTTCATTTGTTAGAACATTTTTAAGCCATGTTTTTATGTGTTTTCGATATTTCAATAATTTTTTAATATAATCTTAAAATATGTCGAATATTATAAACTTAAAAAAAGTTACTAAGTTTTATATTGTGTACCGTTCCTAATATTTCTAATCATTTTAATTCATACTTTAAGCTTTATAAAGTTATAATTTGTTAATATTAATATTTGCGCGTATTTAAGGATCCAGATCATTCATTTTTTAAAGGTTTATCTTTAAATTAAATTGTGAAGCTCTGAGTAATCATACGACGTTCAATATTCTTTCTTTCAATATGACTAAATAATCCCAATTATAGCAATCTGATACTCATGTCTCAATGTTTTTTCGCTGAATGTGATGAAAACATTTGAAAAAGGTTCGCTTATTGAAATAAATCTACACCAGTTAGTACTTCGATTTCCAGGTAAAGGGAAAAGGCTCATTATCTGCCATATTGGCAGTGAGGATGGATTTGTTGTTGACGGTCTGTGGTGCTTTGAGTCTAAGAAAACTGGAGATTACCACGAGGAAATGAATGGCGAATCGTTTGAACAGTGGTTTTCAAAAATTTTACCGAACTTAGAGGAAAGCGCAGTAATTGTGTTGGATAATGCGCCTTATCATTATCGAAGAATGGAGAAGGTCCCAACAACGGCTTCAAGGAAAGTTGATGTTCAAAATTGGCTCCGCTCGAAAAATATCAACTTTGAAGAAGCAATGCTGAAAGTACAATTATTAAGAATTGTCAAGGATCACAAGGCGGAATATCAAAAATACGCCATTGAGGAAATGGCAGCAAGTCAAAATAAAACTGTGCTCCGTTTACCTCCATACCATTGCGAGCTCAATCCCATTGAGCTCATATGGGCAGAGGTTAAAAATTATATAGCTAAGCACAATACAACTTTTAAATTTTGTGACCTCAAAGGACTTTTCAAAGAAGCACTAGAATTAATAACAGTGCAAAAATGGGAAAACTGTATTAAGCACGTGAAAGACAAAGTTGAAAAGAGAATGTGGGAACTGGACAATATTTTAGAGGAACAAGTCGAGCCATTCATTATTGACGTTGGTGCTTCAGGCAGTAGCGATGATGAAAGCTCATCAAGCTCATCTTTCCAATAAAAGATGTCGTTCATCAAATTCGGTAAGTTATAAGTAATTATAAAGCTACTGTATTTTTTAATTAATTATTGACATTTTTGAACCCATTTTGGCAAAACCTATTCAAGAATCTACTTTCTGACAATGTTCAACCATGCACATTTTTTTACGTTTTGAACGTTTTAATTTGGTTACATATTTACCTAGAAATCAAAAAATATACTAATCAATATTCTAAAAGCAATTTTAAGAGATATACGATTATTTTTAATTTAGGCTAATTTAAACGCCATTTTGAGATTATATTCGACTGTATTTCACCAAACATCAGGCGGCATCCGAAGCTGGAAATCGAAGCGAAAATTTTGAAACCCTTATGTATATTTACATCATTATATATTTCTTACCCCACCCCCACATGATCCTATATCCATCACCAATCGTATACACATCGAATTGTGCTAATTTACTACAAAGTTACGCAAAGCAGCATCTACTATCTAAAATATGTACTGCGTGACTCTTAATACGTCCCTGCCGAATGTTACAGCGTTCGATGATCACGTGGTCTTGTTTATGTCTGGTCTATCTCTTATCTGAATATACTGTAAAATTACACGACCCTGGCATCATAAAAAGCGTAAATGGCAACAATGGCCAGGTTCCGGTCATACAGCCGCGAAATTTGAGATGATTGATTCCGATTTACCACAACACGCTGGATTGACAGCACCCACAATGTTGCCACGTCGACTAATTTACACTTCTTATGAGGTGATATTTTGAAATATATTTATAATCAACATTTTCCATAGTTAAACTGACATAGCGTTACATTAAAAAAAAATTCTTCAACTTGTTTTTTTGGCAACATAATGACCATATTTAAAACATGTGGCAACAATGTCTGCGTTTTATGTGTTTTTGTTTACCTTCGTTAAAATGATATCTCTTAGTTTGTTGTGAAGAAAGCAGCTTCTGATATGTTGATATGTGTTGACCATGGTGCACCTCAGGGCAGCGTACTAGACCCATTACTCTTTATTCTGTATGTGAATGATTTGTCGACTGCCCTTAATAATTGCTTTAACAATTTGTTTGCGGATGATACATTAATTGCAGCCAGTGATTCAGTAAGTAATGAAATTGTAAATGTAATGAATAGTGAAATCGACAAGATTAAATGAAATGTAAATGATCACAGGTTCGAAAAATAATTGCAAGTAGTAGGTTTAAATTTGTCTGTAGATACTTTTCAATATTTAAGTATAACAGCAGCTAATCTTCAAGAAATATGTTACCTATACAGGGTTATCCAAATTAAGTGTCCACCATTAGTAACTTTGTTATTAGTGAAAATACAAAGTTGTTGAATTAGCAAACTAGTAGCATTTTTAACGCTGGTAAAAATGAGAAATAAAAAAAAACAATTGAGAGTCGTTATTTTGATTTTTTTCAGTAAAATAACATTTTTTTAAATGGAAACCCCTGTATATTATATTTTTTTCTGTTAAAGCATCAAATTTTAAACAAAAAAGCTTACAATAACTTTTCTCCTAGGTTACAAATTGTTGAAGTTATGGCCTCCAATCTGAAACAATTAAATTGTATCGACAAACTTTATTTTCAACATCAACTTATAATCTTACAAAATACAATAACAATTTTTTTTAAAGAAGATGCTCGAAAACACCACCTTGTTCTTCAATACATTTTTGGGCACGTTTTTCAACTGCTCGAACTGTCTTAAGTATGGTCCTACCATCTATCTGGGTTATCTTTTCCCTAACTGCAGTCTTTAACGCGTCAAGGTTATCGTACCTTCGCTTGTAAATTTGGTTCTTTAAGTAACCCCACAAGAAGTAATCAAGTGGGTTTAGATCTGGTGATCTGGGAGGCCACTGTATTGGGCCATTTGTTCCTATCCACTGATCATTAAAAGTAGTACTTAGAAAATGATAAGTACCTCTGGAGTTGTGGGCAGGTGCGCCATCTTGCTGAAAATGCAGATGATGTCTACTTATAAGATCCAATTCGTCTAAGAAATTAGTCAGAATTTCTGACATAAATTCCACATATCTTTCACCAGTTAGGGTTCCCTCATAAAAGAACGGGCCAACAATTTTTGAACCAATTATACCGCACCAAACGTTGAAACTGAAACGAACTTGTGGGCCTCTTGGATGTACTAACAAAAGATTTTCTCTTGACCAATAATGGTGGTTTTTTCTATTAAAACATTCCAGAATTTGAAAAATTTGATTCATCTGTCCATAAAAGGTAACGAAAGTTATTTACATTTTGGCGACAGAAGCTAAGATACCAATGGCAAAAAACAAGTCTTCTCTCTGGATCCCCTGCCAAAAGCGTTTGAACTGGTCGGTACTTATACGGAATAAATTTGTATTTTTTTAAAATCCTTTGAATAGTACCATAACTGAAATTAGAGTCCTTGAGAATATCTGCTATTGAATTCTCACGATAAGCTTCAAAATATCCAATAACTGCAATTTCCGTGGCCTCGCTTATTATGAATTCTTTTTTTGCCCTTGTTTTAGCAAAAATATTTTCGTTGCCCCTAAATTTTCGATAAAGTCTCAGAAAATATCGTTCATACGGTTGAATGCGAGCGGGATATAATTCACTGTAGTATTCTCTTGCTCTCAAGGAGGATTTTCTGCACACTAAATAGCATTCTAACATATCACACTTTTCTTCATGGGAGAACATTTTTCTTTAAATTAATGACACAATAAAGCTTATAAACAAGTATTTACACTAATGTTTGACATTATTTGATTTTATCATTGTTTTCCAAAGCCTTCTAGTTGCGAGTATGTCCAGTTTAACAATTTGTCGCTTATCTTAATGCTGTCAAATCGCGAACGCCATGTTGTTTTCATAGCCGTCTTAATATCATAATACTGCAAATAATTAAAAATATTTATCGTTATTTTGACTTTATTTTTGACTTTAGCGGAAAAGTCATTATGAACTTTTTTGTTTAAAATTTGATGCTCTAACAGAAAAAAATATAATATACAGGGGTTTCCACTTAAAAAAATGTTATTTTACTGAAAAAAATCAAAATAACGACTCTCAATTGTTTTTTTTTTATTTCTCATTTTTACCAGCGTTAAAAATGCTACTAGTTTGCTAATTTAAACAACTTTGTATTTTTACTAATAACAAAGTTACCAATGGTGGACACTTAATTTGGATAACCCTGTATGTGTTGGAAATTAGGAAAAATGTTTTAGATAGAATTTATGACAATCTAAGTCGCTGGTACAGAAGAGTGGTACAATAGTTTTTCCTCGTTTTACTTATTGTACATCACTTCTGATTATATGCACCAATGTATGCGAATTTTGTTAAATTGTAGCTAAATAGGATATGCTACAGATATTGCATTTTTTAAACATACACCGAATCATTCAAGAGGCAAATTCAATTCTTTTATACAAGACTATCAATAATCAGGCTTCTCCTTATCTTGAACAGTTTCTAAAAAGATTTGAAATGTAAGGTTACGATATTAGACCAGAAGAAAATTTCCAAGATTTAAATATAAATGTTTACAAAAAGCCAATGTTTGTTTAACATCTAAAAATCTGCCTGCTTTGTAAAAACATCTAGAAATGATAACATTTTCATAAAGAGACTTCAGAGAGAATATTTTGGTTTTATGTGGCGACCACTTTGTAAATCGACACATTTTTTGTAAACAATGTTTATCATTGTTTGAAGTAGCTTGAAGCTAAATAAATCGTCTGTTCTATATTCAATAATAATAAGAACTTCGTATTTTTTCACACGACTTCTTAGTCTGTAAAATGGCACGTTCTTTTCACAAGAAATGTGTGCCGCACCACAAGCTAGGCTTGAAAGAAAAGTGCGCAGTTGCGGTGGACACAACTTGTTGAAATTGACTTCAAACCAAATTCGCATTTAAACTTACTTGTTCCATTGAATGTTAACAGAAAACGATTGTGTTCCTTTGGTTCAAACACAAGGTATATTGTTTGATTTTGGCGTAGCCTGCAAAGATAAAGGTATTACTTTTTAAAGCAGTTATTGCAAATGTCAAAATTAAACTCGATTTGTAATTATATCTTATTTACTAATCAATGGCAAAACGAGCAAATCCTACAGTTTGCTGATTATCCAATTCTTGGTGTTGTTTCAGAAACAAAGGTCCGGTTTATCGAGGATGTCAAAGGATCTTCGTAGAGAACGTATCTAAGGCTACGTATCCTTATAGCGAACAACTACATACAGGGTGGCCCATCGAAAACCAAACAGACGCATTTACTGGCACCTCAGTTTTTTTTTTTGGAAAAACGCTCAGACACGTCGAGTTTGTTTTCGAGGCAAAAAATCACGTTAGCATGTATAGCCCCCTAACCGGGGGTGACACCACCCCCAAAATCTTAAATAGAAAGGGGGGTCGACTGATACCTTATTTGAAAGGTCCTTCAATTCCCTTTATAATGATATAAAATAAATGTACTTCAGTTCAGTAGTTTTCAAGATTTATTGATTTAAAGCTTAAATAAAACTAATACATCAACATTAGTGGAGATCAATACATTTGTAAGATTATAAGTTGATGTTGAAAATAAAGTTTGTCGATACAATTTAATTGTTTCAGATTGGAGGCCATAACTTCAACAATTTGTAACCTAGGAGAAAAGTTATTGTGAGCTTTTTTGTTTAAAATTTGATGCTTTAACAGAAAAAAATATAATATACAGGGGTTTCCATTTAAAAAAATGTTATTTTACTGAAAAAAATCAAAATAACGACTCTCAATTGTTTTTTTTTATTTCTCATTTTTACCAGCGTTAAAAATGCTACTAGTTTGCTAATTCAAACAACTTTGTATTTTCACTAATAACAAAGTTACTAATGATGGACACTTAATTTGGATAACCCTGTATACGATCCTGAATTGGTTGAAAATGAGCGGTATAACTGCATTTTTATTCATAAATTATTATCCAGTTCAAAAACCTGTTTCTTCTTTTAAAAGTTATGTTCACTGTCGATCACTCAGTGTTAAAGATATCAGGATACAACAAAGAATTGTCATTGCATGTCATTCGTCAAAAAATTAAATCGTCTTTTCTCAATCATCCAGAATGAATATTACACAATCATGCATTTCATTATTCATCCTTCACTTATGCATTTTTGTTTTTTTTATTTTGATGAAATTAGCAAAAGTTTGTTTGTGAATTGTACATACTATTTTAAGCATATAACAGCAGGTGGTATAACATATGTTCTAAAAGTTTTGGCACATTTTTTTAATGAAGAAATTTATTGGAACATATTTCTAATTTACACGAAATAAATAAATGTCAACTGACAGCAAAGTAAGTAAACAAATGTTTGTTACCAAAGGCTACTTAATATTATTTTGTGTTTGTTAAAATTAACGGGGCTCCTACAATCTCGAGCACCATCTGCTGAGGTAACGGGGGGGGTGAAAAGGAAACGAAGGACGGCTGGGCTTAGACGGTCGTCGGCGCTACTTTAAAAGAGGAAAAGATGATAAATTTTTATAATAACAGCCTGTAAATCGTTTCCTATTTTGGTACTCAGCAAGTGATCATTTAGTATTGTTCTACCCTTGTTACTCTTCGTCGATATTGTGTTGTTGAATTGTTGTGCTGGACTTTTGTTGGTATGATTGTTCTTGAATGCCTTTTTTTATCAAGGTTGATAATGGACAATACAATGTCATATTCGACAATTTTAATTACGAATGCAGTGAGTTTAATTCATGATGACAACAACAGTGTGGAGCAGTTCAACTCTATAATCGCAAAATACATTGGGGTAAGCGAATAAATTATTGCAAGAAGAGGTCATACCATGGAAGATGTGCTGCAGCAGTAGTGAGCCACAATACCGAGCGGCCTGACTATGTGGTCCAAATAAATTTGCGTTCTAAGCCTAGTCCAACCTCGCTTATCACTAAGTAGGAACAAAGACTCAAACGCAAGATTCTTGAAAAGAAACTCAGACCAAAAAAAGCTGATATAAAAATATCTAACAATTCGGATAGCAATTCCAAAGAAAATTAATTGGGCCACCAAATTATCTGAATACGTCCTTTCATAGTCCGTACATTGCGCCGCAACGAAACAGTAGACAAAAGTCGTCCAAAATACGATTTGTAGAGGTTTGCGCGCTTCGAAATTGACGCTTTATTTTTTGATATTTTTGGATAAAATTTTCACAGTGGGCTGAAAACAAAACCCCACAGTGTGCTATAGAGCCACTTTTTGATTTTTTTCACTAGGTTCTTTTTGAAAAAATCGCGAAGTTGAACAGAAAAAGTGCGCACTTCAACCCATCGTAAAACTTGTGCAAAAACAAAATTTCAAAAAGTGCTCCCAAAGCACCCTGGGGAATTATCTTCTGAACATACTTTATGAATTTCGTTCAAAAATATTGAAAAATGGAATGCCAGTTTCGAAGCAGCTGAACCCTTGTAAGGCTTGAAACTCACTGCGTCGGAGCCGCCTTAAAGCCAATGCATTTTGTGCCCAAAACTTTTAGGGCATACGTAAGGAGTTACATTTAGTAAAACTACAACGTAATTGTAGATTAATAAAAACTTCTGTTATTATCATCGACACTGGTCTGTGTCTGCGGCTAAAATTGTGGTTTTTGTAAATAGTATACTGCTTCAACAAGTTCCAGCTGTCCAAAGCACCAGGCACAAAAATGGGTCTCAGTCGTTTTGTCTAAGAATTCAGTATGATATATTTATTGCCTTCCCGAACAAAGGTATCCACGGGACCAAAGCAATCCTATGATCAGTTTCCGAGAGATAGACGGAAGTTTGCTTGATTTGCAAAAATGGTGAATGTATCGATTGTAGTTTTCAACCGAAAACTCGGAGAATCAGTATATTGAAAGAAATATTTTGTTACAAACACCTTGTAGGGAGGTGTTGGGAGGTGTCAAGTTGATCTTGACCATACTCCTTACAAGCTGAGGTCCAGGGCAAGTTCATTCTTATACGAGTATGTTCATGCTGGCACGAGTTGTTCGAGAATTAAGAGAAACTTTACGGACAGGTAGCTTTCCAGGTGCACAGTGTATGTCTTAATTTTGATGCATTTGAAAATCTACAAATATTATCGATTCCAGATTACAAAGGATTCCTTTTGTACTGTTTACCAGTAGTCCATATGTCGTTCGAAATCGTTTGTTGTAAAAATTTTCTACAAAGTGTAACATGGAGACACACCTATACAGGGGGTTTCAGTTTATTGTTGCGTAACTTTAAGATTCGATAGAACTTTTAAAATTGATGCATAAAGTCTATATAAACATGGGTCGAAAAATGCGTGGCTTCCGAAATACAGGGTGTTCAAATTTACTTTTTAAAATAGTTTTTTTTTTAAATATTTCGAACAATATTTGATGTATAACAGTGAAAATTGGTATATAAGAATTTTTTGGTACGACAAAACGAACCATGGGCATAGTTTTACTATTTTTCTTAATGCAATTTTTTGCTTTTTGAATAAAAAAAAATATTCTTCGCACTTTTCTGCATAAAAAAGCTCTCCTGTGAGTTTTCGTTATAGTTAGCCGTTTTTGAGATGCATTTTTAATTATTTATGGGAAAATAATATTTTTTTTACATTTTCGATTTGGGCATTACAAGTAATTATGATGATCGTTTAGATTGTGTTTTTGAACACAGCAATAGTTCCTAACTTCAAATAAACACAAAAAAACAGAATATTAATTTGTTTAATTTTCCAATATTATTTTTAACAAATTAAATTAATTATTTACAACTAAAATGCTATTGGATAGTTAGGACAAACATACAACATCTAAAGTAGTTGCTCGAAATGTAAACCCATTTGTTCAATACACAATTCACATCTACGAATGATCGAACGTGGTATAGAATTATTCAAATGAGGCCTTATTTCATCACATGCATTCCTGATTCTGTCTATTAGCATATCTCTTGTGGTTTCGGGAGTCTGGTACACTTTTTCTTTTAGAAATCCCGACACAAAGAAATCTAATGGATTTAGGTCAGGGGATCGTGGAGGCCAGGCGACTGGTCCTCCACGGCCGATCCATCTTTCTGGATAATTTTCGTCCAGCCAGTTTATAACTATTCTCGAATAATGAGCTGGACAACCATCAAGCTGGAATCAGGCCAATCTTCTTAAATCTAACATAACAGCATCCCACATATTTGCATGTTCAGCCTTTAAAAATTCCAAGAAGGTCGCAGCATTTAACCTTGCAGGCAAAAGGTAGGGTCCAAATAGTCGATTACGGTAGATACCAATCCACACGTACACACTAAATTCATGCTGAAAATTTCTTTCCCGAACTGCATGCGGATTTTCATGCGACCAAATATGTTGATTATGAAAATTTACCACTCCACGACTAGTGAAGCATGACTCATCGGTCCATAAAACGTTACTTAAAAACTCCCGATTATTATCAGTTGTATCAAGAATCCACTGACAAAATGAGATTCTGCGTTCTCCGTCCCCCGGGCTGTAGTCCTTGCACAGGTTGCAAATGGTAAGGACGTCTATGATCATTTCTAAGAACACGGTGAACATAGCTTGCTGAAATTCCCAAGTCACCAGAAACTCTCCTAACACTTGTGGTCGGATCTCTATCAAACTCACGCAGAATCATACGGGTAAATCTGCGCTGACGAACATTTATTTTTAGATCCCTTTGGAGATTTCCAAAACCATTTTCAATTATTTGGCGATGCACTCTTACAAATACTGAGCGAGTTGGATGTCGTCTGTTTGGAAATCTTCGTGCATATTATCTGGCTGCTTCTGCTGCGTTTCCATTTACAAAGCCATACACAAGATGAATATCCGCTAACTCTTGATTGGAGAATAAAAATGGCATTTTTATTAAAAAAAATTTCGGTCATTTTAATACACTACAGGTACAGTAGAGAGCGCCCATGGTTCGTTTTGTCGTACCAAAAAACCCTTCTATACCAATTTTCACTGTTATACATCAAATATTGTTCAAAATATTTAAAAAAAACTATTTTAGAAAGTAGATTTACACCCTGTATTTCGGAAACTACGCATTTTTCGACCCATGTTTATATAGACTTTATGCATTAACTTTAAAAGTTCTATCGAATCTTAAAGTTATGCAACAATAAACTGAAACACCCTGTATAAGAAAATGATTGAGCAGTTACATAACGAAATAGATGTGAAAACATCATAAAGTTTACAGCCTTCCGCTGGAAACTTTATCCTGAGAATGGGGCACCGCCATATAGGGACAAATAAACACAGAAAACGGGTGCTCGAGGAAGCATGATTCAAAACAACCAGTAAGTTTCAACCGAAATAGATTTTTTGGTAGACTTTTCGAATATCGGCTTGCCTTCACTTTAACGTTAACGACTGCCAAATTTCCCACCAGTTGAATTGGTAGGTGTTTGGTCAGAGAAAATATGCACATTCACCAGTTTTGCCAATCAAGTCTATTTCTCAGAAACTAATCGTAGGATCGCTTTGGTCCCATGGACACTTTTGATCAGGAAGACAAGAAATATTACATATTGAATTTTTAGACAAATCAACTGGCACCCATTTTCCATGTGTTTTGTGCCTGGTCCTTTGCCCCTCAGATCAAATTTGACGATGATTTTTTGAAGTTTGCTTAATTTTGATACAAAATGTACATTACCCGTCGTTATATTCGAAAAGAGCTGTATAGCCATTATCAGCAGTTGCTGAGCAGTTCGCCCTGAAGCATCCTGGGGTCACAAAAGGGCGTCCAAAACGGTGTTGAGCATACCACGTTCCACTAAACTGAAACGAGGGATGTAGCCCTTTGTAGCACAATTTGATTAATACGGAATATAGTTGTGTTGTTTCTATACTTTTCCTTTTTGAGGTGTACTTCCAAAAATTAGGTTTCTTGATTTCATACGTAGCTGCAGCTAAAATAGCTGCTGGTGTACTACAGGGTGTAAAGGTTATGATAGTCATTATTTAAATGGGTGATAGAGACACCTGGTATGTGAAAGTTTATTAAACGTATTAAAAAAAATCCACTTATAAATAGGAAACACAATTTTGATACATACATTGTTTTTCTTTTTAAAACCCACACTGCCCTTTTTTGTATTCAAAGGAGGTGTTCAAAATGTCGTCCTCCACTTTCCACACAAACTTCATTACGACGAACCCAGTTTCTTCTTACTCTAGGTCCTCGAAGTTGTCCATTTATTATTTCAGCCGCATTAAATTTTTTTTCTCGAAGTTGTGCTTTAGTTGTTATTGGACCAGCCCCATAAACCATCTCTTTAAGTTCTCTCCAATACCAGAAATCCATCGGATTAGGTCAGGAGATCTTGCCGGCCATTTTCGAGGATTAGGAGCATTTCGACCGATCTAGCGATTTGGATAATGTTCATTCAAGTACTGAATGACGCCTCTAAAAATGTGTGGTGGTGCCCCGTCATGAAGGAACCACAAATTATGTCAAAAGCTTTGGTAGGTTATTGGCTAGAAAGCTAAGGTATCCTTCTCCTGACAACTTTGGGGGTAACTCGAAAGGGCCAATTACCTGATCGTCAAGAATACCCGTAAACTAACAACATGTCGGCGAACTCTTGATTCGAGAACATTGTAAATAAACACGACGACGTACGCGAACAATAGGCTGCATATATCGGCCACGGCCCTGTTTGGGAGACACACACCTGTGCAGTCTCATTTCAGATCTCTTAAATAAAAACACCAACCTTTTCATAGCTGGTGACTTCAATCTACGTGACATTAGCTGGCCTATGTCAACCATTCCCGAATGCAATTCTTCTTCTGCTGCTTACATCGACTTGCTACGCAACTCTAGCATATCTCAACTTGTTGATCGTCCAACGAGATTCAGGGAAGGACGGACGCCTAGGGCTCTGGATTTGATATTCGTTAACGACGCTGACTTTGTTTCTAATTTAGATTATTTGCCACCTTTTGGCAAGTCTGACCACTGTTCACTTTTGTCTTCTCTCCAGTTCAATATAAATAGTCGTTCTATAACCGATAAGTTTAAAACCATCAAAATTGTAAACCACGATGCTCTTAACCAAGCCCCGTCTGAAGTCAACTGGCCTGCTTTGCTTAACAACCGTAGCACCCAAGATATGTGGGACACTTTCGCTCAACGAGTCCTAAGCGAAACGGCTGACAATACTGTTGAAAAGAAGGTATACTGTGACCCCTCAAAGCCCTGGATCAACTCTAACATATCGAGGATGCTTCGTCACAAGAGATCTTTGTGACAACGGTTTAGGAGGAGTGGCCATTCACAATATTACGTGTCTCATCGATCTTTTTCTAACCTCCTATCTAGAACGTTACATAATGCCAAACATGCTTATGAACGGAAACTCGTTACCTCCAAAAATAAGAAGAAGCTGTTTCGGTATCTAAGAACAAACCTGAATTCCAAAGTTTCATCACCTCAGATCCGCGACGCTGACGGTCATCCCACATGGATGCCACCGAATCTGCCAACTTACTGGCAGAGTCCTTTAGTGATGACTTCATCGATGAGCCTAATGGAGACCTTCTACCGACCACTATCTGCCATAGGTGTCCCAACAGCCTTTGCGAAGTTGAGTTCCTACCTGAAGATGTATTAATGCACCTGCGAAATCTGAAGACCTCTTCCTCCCCTGGTAAAGATGGGATGACGGCTGATGTACTTAAAAACTGCGCTTCAGCACTGGCCCTACCATTAAGCTTGATATTCACATCGTCTTTTAGATCTCATACCCTACCCTCATGCTGGCTTAGTGCTTCTGTTACCCCTGTATTCAAAAAGGGCGACAAATCCTCCGCTAAAAATTATCGACCAATAAGTCTCGTTCCTATCGCCGCCAAAATAGCTGAAAGAATCATATTAGATAAGCTCCTGTCATTTGCTTTCAAAAATGACCTTATCCCTAAGAATCAGCATGGATTTCTCCCTGGTCGATCAATAATGACCAACCTTCTCCACTCTCTCAACGACTGGACTCAGTATCTGGACACAAAGACTCCTGTTGATATAATCTACTTAGATTTTTCTAGGGCTTTCGATCGCGTAACACATAGAAGGCTTCTGTTTAAATTGGAATGTATGGGAATAAGAGGCGAGTTGTTACTGTGGATTAAGGCTTTTCTCACCGGGAGGACTTTCTCTGTGCGCGTCAGTGATAGCCAGTCTCACCTTCATCATGTAGCAAGTGGAGTTCCTCAAGGCTCTATCTTGGGGCCAGTGCTGTTCCTTCTGTATACAAGTGACCTGCCCGCATTGATTTCCTCCACATGTTCAGCTTATGCCGACGACACCAAGATTTACATTAATGTCGTAAATTCTGCTATGCTTCAACGAGATCTTGATATTGTTTGTCAATGGTCAGTCAGTTGGCTTTTACCCTTAAATCTAACTAAGTGTTGTGTCCTTCACCTCGGGAAGACAAATCCGCGATTTACATACAAGATCTCTGACCACAACATCGAAGCAGTTTCCAGCCACACTGATCTGGGCGTTGTAGTCAACGATCGTCTTTCCTGGTCAGAGCATATTCACCACGTTACATCAAAAGCCAAGAAACTTCTATACATGCTGGAGAGGTCTTTCAAAGGATCCGATGTCAACACTTGCGCCTACATTTACAAGGCATTCGTGAGGCCAATTCTTGAATTCGCTGGCCCGGTATGGGACACTGTGCTTCTGCGCGATAGAAATCTCGTCGAATCAGTACAGCGTCGGGCTACTCGTATCCCTTTTGGAGCACGAAGACCAAGCTATGAAGATCGCCTTGAATTATTCAACCTGACCTCATTCTCTGAGCAAAGACTTCGTGGCGATCTTATAGTTACGTTCAAGATACTTCATGGTTTGATGGGCACCAACCTCATGCATCTATACCGTCTGTCGCGCAGCAATCTACGCGGACACAGCTTCAAACTGCATAAGGAGCCATTTAAAACAACAGTCCGACAGTGGTTTCTTCCCAACCGCATATTCAACACCTGGAATAGTTTACCTGAGAGTGTGGTTGGTGCTATTTCAGTTAATAGCTTCAAAGTGCAGTATGATAGCTGGAGGAGTGTACAAACTTTATAGCTATGAACTGTCTTTTTTTATTTTTTTCTATTTGATGTATTTGTGTTACGTGTCCGTACACTATATTTGCTGCATGAGCTTATAGTACTGTGTACTCTGATCATCTCAATTATCATAATAATAATAATAATAATAATAATAATAATAATAATAATAATAATAATAACTAACCACTGTTACCGTTTGCGACCGATTGCCGGTTCGATAAGAGTGATGACGACGCGCTGTTGTCATGTGTGTTTTAAATATTTAATTTAATGAAAGTTACTTAGTGACTACAAATTTTGGCTTAGCTTAGAAAAACTTAATGCCATTTATTTGTTAATTACCCAATTTAAAAACGTTTTAGATTAGATTATAAAAATTAGTAAGATTGTGGTGATTGTGGTCGATATAAAGCACTTAAAGTGTTAAACTATAAAGCCATTTAGACAAAAATCTATTGACTTTTGCACCATGGGTCATATGAACTTTTTGACTTGTTTTGACACCCCTGTTACACATGTCAATAATTACTACATAACGCTTACACCCTGTATAACGGCAAGATATCACCTTGCTACTCGAGAGATACTTCGAGAGCAGCATACAGTAGATAAAAATTGAACTCAAATATGTCAGCAACTTACTTTCTCGACGTCAAGTGGAAGAGATGGCGGATTGTCAAGGCATCGCTGAGCACTCGCTATAGCAAACAAGCCAAACACAAGCACTAGATGCGAAATCATTATGTTATCAAAAAACACTCTTGTATTATGAATAATTCTGCAACGTCTTTCTCATTTATACCATAATTGCCGTCTAGATTAAAGTTGTTCAAATAATAGACAGATGGTTCAGGGTAAATAAAAAATATCAATGTGCATTACAATATCCTGTTTAATGCAAGTAACAATATTTAATTTAGGTGATCTCAGTCGAAAAAATTCTTCCATCATGTGATCGGATACAATAAATGTAAAAAGTTTTACAATGAGAACGCAAATGTGATAACAACGGTTATTGAAAAATGCAGAATTTGTCACTCGTTATCGCTATTTTCATTGTGGCACTTTCTACCCTTTACTCAGTGCACAGAGACGAAAGCCTGTCAAAAACTGGAGTCAAGTATACTAAGTGACATATAAATCCGATCACCCAGTTTAAATGGTTTTATTTTAATAAAAGTTGGTGAATGTATTTATTTTACTTTAAATAACAAGTGAAAAAATTTTCAGCCTTATCAGTTGGACATTCCGGTTTTTATACTGCTTTTTTTTAATTCACTAACGCTCTAAAAATGAATATTTCAGCCGCAGTAAAGAATCAACGTTGGCGGATTTTGGTTCTTGACATCCTTTACGATCGGTTACGATGCCTAGAGTACGGAGACCTGTACGATTTCGTCAACTTAGTGAGTTTGATAGGGGCCGTATAGTGGGACTTCGGGCAGCTGGACTTTCTTTTCGGGCAATTGCAGTTAGAGTGCAAAGAAGTGTAGACACTGTGGTTAGGTGTTGTCAGGCATGGCTTCGAGAAGGCCGTACGCAAAGAGCAAGGGGCACTGGACGCCGCCGTAGAACAACAGACCGTGAAGATCGCCGCCTGAGATTATTGGCCTTAAGGGACCGTTTCTCCACTACCAGGTCCATTGCAAATGAATGGTTTGCAGAACACGGAAGACCTATTGGCATGCGAAGTGTTTACCGACGAATGAGAAGTTTTGGCTTGTTTTCATACCGGCCACACTGGGTCCTCCCTTTAACTCGAGAACACCGACGTAATCGCCTTGAGTGGTGCAGACAACGGTCACTCTGGGATCAGGAATGGAACAGTATTGTCTTTAGTGACGAGTCTCGATTTTGTTTAGGCATGCACGATGGTCGTGCCAGGGTTAGAAGGCGACGTGGTGAAAGGAGGAATCCACAGTTTTTTGTTGAAAGACATGTTCATCACACTGTTGGAGTTATGGTTTGGGGTGCTATAGCTTATGGTTCCAGGTCACCTTTAATCTCCATCAGAGGTAACATGAACGCGCAGCGTTATATTCACGAAGTTCTAGAACCCCATCTTTTACCCTATCTTGTCACCCTGGCAGATCCAACTTTCCAACAAGATAATGCCCGACCACATGTTGCAAGAGTCACAATAGACTTCTTTCAACATAATGATGTCACATTGTTACCATGGCCACCAAGATCTCCAGACTTATCCCCAATTGAGCACGTGTGGGATATGATCGGTAGGAGATTGCTCAATTTGCAACGTCCTCCTCAGACTCTAGAAGCACTTCGAGAGGAGTTGGTGGTTGCCTGGAATGAGATACCACAGGAGGACATTGACCACCTGATCAGAAGCATGCCTAGGCGCGTTGGAGAATCCGTAGCACATCAGGGTGCATCCACACATTATTAAAGGTCAAAGGGCTTTAAAGCAGTGCAATCAAAAGTATTAAGACTCCTTCAAACAGAGGATTTAAAAAAGAGATGTGTCACCTTAAGGGAAATAAACAAACGTGGTTATGAAATACAATACATCACATTCTTCTAAAAACAAGTTCCATAAGAGTAGCATTAGGCTCTTGTCGTCTAATTTGAGCAACAGACAGCAGCTTGTAACCTTCAATCCAGGTACAACGACAGTTTCATGTGGCGTTCCACAGGGTTCTGTGCTGGGTGCACTTTTATTATCAACATACGTAAATGACCTTGCGGAATGTAATACAAACAAAAACGTTATACTGTTTGCCGATGACACAACAATGCTCTGTAGTAGCAAATCGATTGATCTACTTTTCTCTGCGAATATTGGATACACAATAAATTTATAAAATTCGTTTTTAGCAAACAAACGGACACTTAAAGTGTTGTAGTGTGCTAGTCTACTTTTACTCTGCTAATTTGTTCGGATGTGCTATCGTCTTGTATTCATTTTAAATTCAATATATGATTTTACAGTTTTTTTTGTTAATGTTGTTTTTGTACAGCTTAATGTTAACATTGCTTTTACCAAAAAATTTGTTTTTTGTGTATTTACACTTTTGTATTTTGACATGTGTAAAAACGCAAGTGTATTAAGCAGCAATAAAGAAATGAATTGAAATGAAACAAAATCGAGTCGGAAAATGTTTCCCATAAATATTAGAAAGCTGCCGTTGACCAAAAATTTTATTTTTGCATTATTTGTTCCAGATTATGGTCAGACAGAGATGACATTTGCATTTATATGCTGTTCGAGTACGTTTGTGGAGGCGAACTGTTCTCATATCTAAGAAATGCTGGTCGGTTTTCCACATCAACGGGAAACTTCTACAGTGCTGAAATTATATCAGCGCTAGACTATCTCCATTCAAAAAATATAGGTAAGATAAGTGAGACTAATCTTTCAGCAAATGAAGCATTTTACTAGCTATTTCTATGGATTCGACTCTAAAATTTAAAGTTTAATCAGAAGAACCTTCCTGCTCTTGCGAATAAAATGAAGCATTTTTATTAGTTAATTCAAATGCAATTAGATTCAACTCTAAGATTCAGGGATGGGCAAATATAATCGGTTAATTCAATAAGGTGAAATAGGTTATCAATATCAATCTTACCCTTTTAAAAACTGAAATCGATACATTTCGATTTCCTAAGCAAAATATTCATTTATTCTATCAAATTAGATATGAGTCAAGCATATTACAGTACGCCTTTGTTTTCATGTTATAAACAGTTGTCCACTCATTTGTCTTCTTCAATTAACCAGCTGCTGGCTATAAAACAGTGGATTTAAGGCAAACGGTGTTCGAATTTTCTTTGACACATTCGTATTTATCTTCCAGTTTATAGGGACCTGAAACCAGAGAACCTCCTGTTGGACAGCGAGGGCCATCTGAAGATCACGGACTTCGGCTTCGCGAAGAAACTTACAGACAGGACGTGGACGCTGTGTGGGACCCCAGAGTATCTGGCACCAGAAATTATCCAGAGCAAAGGGCATAACAAAGCTGTAGACTGGTGGGCGTTAGGTAAGTTCCACACTATTTTGTGATGCATTGAATATTAAGCGATTAATTTTTCCAAGTATTAGTTTGGATCCTTACATAGGGGCCGTTCGAGTATTACGTGAGCACTATGGGGGGACAGGGGGGTCTTTGCGTTATTTTGGATGACATGGGAGGTAGGGGAGTCTAGATGATGATTACGTCATCGGTAGTTATTTACTTGTTTACACGAATGGCCACCCTCACATTGTCTTTGCTTGAAAACGAAACGCATTTTCGGGGATTCCCGCAAATAATGGATACGTTAGGTGAACAGCGCGCGGTAATTCCCATACTCGCTTTAGAACCGAGTAGCAAAACGCAGTTGCCCAGAAGAAACACAGGGATGGTATGAAAAGAAAGTTAGAAGATATTTGTCATGAAAATCCAGAAATAAAAAAAATACTATCTCTGAGGGACGTCCTAATCTTGAAAGCAATCAACATTCACTATTGAAAACACTCGCGGATATAGCTTTATTTGGGAGTGCAGCAGATGACAGAAGACGAACGGAATCAATTCGCAGCGTAAAAACTGTTGATGAACTCACACAAGAATTACGTAAAATAGGATTTGACATTAGTCGCAGTGGGATATATCTTGATTCCCAGAAAATCTAATTCTGCAGAGGGACGAAGACATGTATCGACAGTCCCTGTTAAGCTCATTCGGGCTCAAACTGATCACCACAAGAGCCACTTAGATAGCAAGTTCGCTGAAACATCAATCCACTATTTAGTGAACAGCATCCATACTTGGACATGTATATACCTCAAAGCAGGACTAGAATACAATAATCTCTTAGACTATTTGAATGATATTTCAGTTGATAAGCATTTCGAATGTAGTGGAATTCAAGTTATAACCGAAAACCTCAATTCGGTTATTGTTTCTCTGTATAGAAGTCCTGATGCCGATTTTAAAATTTTTTTGCAAAAACTTGAAGACCTTTTAGATATTTTAAACATTAAATGTAAAAAATGTGGGATTGTCCTTTGTGGTTATCAAACAACCTACGCGAGGATCTAATTGCATAGACAATATTTGTGTAGGGGTGGATGTAGCAGGATTTCGAGAAGCTTATTCTTGAAGACTTTCAACCATTAGCTAAAACTGATCATGGACTAGTAAAACCAGTGGTAATCATGACGGTTGATGGAGGGCCAGATGAAAATCCACGTTATCAAAAAGTCATAGGGTTTGCTATACAACACTTTAAGCGACATCATCTCGATGCATTGTTTTTAGCTACCAATGCTCCTGGAAGAACTGCGTATAACATAGTAGAGCCCAGAATGGCTCCTCTTAGTCGGGAACTGGCTGGTTTAATATTGCCTCATGTCCATTTTGGGTTTCATTTGGATGAACGTGGCGTTACAATTGATGAACATTTAGAAAGATCTAATTTCGAATTTGCAGGAAATGTATTAGCTGAAGTATGCTGTCGTCCAAGAAGTGGCCTATTTAGATTACTAGACAATAGGTTTCTTCCACCACCTGTAAAAGTAAAACAAACAGTTGATGACTTGGTTTTGGATGAAGGAGGGCAATTTCTTAATCTTCCAGTCAATTTAGCTCTACGCTTAAGTGCTTCATTCAACGATTTCCTGCAAATACGCTACGATTATTTTTGTCCGACTGTAAAATTGATGCTATCAAGTCGAACATGCAAAACGTGTGGTCTTTATCATGCTTCCGTCAAGTCACTAAATCGTCACATCGAAAATATCCATAAAAAAGTAAACACGCACACTAATAGGAAAGTTAAGACCTGTAAGAGTCGCTGCTCGTCGAGCTAATGAACTGATGTGCACTATTCAAAATTTAGAGCACCATGATATTGAATGGCTCGATGAGAACGACGTAGACATTCCAAAATTCGATGAAAGCGAGCAAACTCACAACACTGAGCAGCAATCGAAGCAATCGAATGTCATCGAAAACTTAGAATCGTGGATTCGGGTTTCATGGACTGAAGACTGTTAATTTGAATTTAATATATGTACCAAAAATTTAAAATAAGTTTGTTATGTTAGTAAGATATAATATTTTTGTCCTTTACTGTATCAGTAAAATATAATCTCTATCCTAAATCTATTTTCTTATTTTTCAAATTGTAATTATAACGTTATAATTATAATATTAAAAAAAACAATACATTAATTGACAAATGTTTACGTAAGCATGGGGGGAGGGGGTAAGAGCTTTGCTTACTTTTGCTGAGAAGGGGGATGGGGCGGGGTAAATAATTGCAATAAATCTGCTTACGTAATACTTGAACGGCCCCATATGAGGGTTGTCTCAAAAATAGGGTTCTCAATGCGCGCGATGCCAGGCGAAATCTGGCAACAGCGTCGTAATGGACGGCTTCCTCTTCACCGATCCCAAGCGCCTATTTACGATGCTCAATTCTCAATTCCGATTTTTGAACGCAAAAACGTTACCACCCATACGAAGGACTTAATCGAGCGATTTGGCTGGATGTCAATGCCGATCTCCCTTACAACCCTGACATAGCGTTTCCAATAATCAGTTACCAAGTTTCTAAATGGTCTCGCGGCGGAAAGGTGGATTTCACGTCTAAAAAAAGAATGTCGACTATGGAGAAGAATATCTTACATTGATCAACGTTTCCAGTGGTGAATTCGTTTTTCCAAATAGAATATTCCTCGTGCCTAAAAAAACGTTGGAACCCTATTTTTGAAACGACCCTCGTATTTTGAACATCAGAACTTAATTTTACCAAAATCATGTTTAAAACCACTGAGATTATGCGACAACAAAAACGACCAACAGAATTGAGGGACGTGAAATTCTTACCTGATACCGAAATTTACCTGGCTTAGACGTGATCAGCTGCCAACCAAAATGATAGATGATCATCTTGTTTTATGTGGCAGTAAAAGATTGCTCTAAGCTTAAAGTGGATTCGGTTCAATTCACACATGGCTCCAATTAATGAAAAATAAATAAAATGTACTGTTATATAGACGCTATATTACAATAACAACAATATATTTCCGGAAGTGGGTCACAGGACCAGCTATAATTATTACTTTCTTCAGATTAATGGGAATTAGTGGTGATTTAAAGATAATGTTGACGAGTACGGTAATATAAAATGAAGTCAGCATGCCATGTGCGTATCTTTTTAATTTTTTTCTGTCAGTGTTGATTTTTTCATTGTTCTAATACAATTTTGGGATCATCCGCTATACAAGGGAAATAGATACGAAAGCACTGAATATCGTAGTATCTTTATCTTTATTTGATCAGCCTATGTGCTTCTGATAGACTAAATAATCAATTTCCATGTGAAATTGTTGAATGCAAAGTTAATAGATACTAAGTGACATATAAATCCGAACACCCAGTTTAAATGGTTTTGTTTTAATAAAATTTTGTATAAGTACTTAATGAAGCATAATAAGTAAATGATAAAAATTTCAAAGTGATTGGACTGCTTTAAAGCCGTTTGACCTTTAATAATGTGTGGATGCACCCTGATGTGCTACGCATTCTCCAACGCGCCTAGGCATGCCTCAGATCAGGTGGTCAATGTCCTCCTGTGGTATCTCATTCCAGGCAACCACCAACTCCTCTCGAAGTGCTTCTAGAGTCTGAGGAGGACGTTGCAAATTGAGCAATCTCCTACCCATCATATCCCACACGTGCTCAATTGGGGATAAGTCGGGAGATCTTGGTGGCTATGGTAACAATGTGACATCATTATGTTGAAAGAAGTCTACTGTGACTCTTGCAACATGTGGTCGGGTAAAAGATGGGGTTCTAGAACTTCGTGGATATAACGCTGCGCGTTCATGTTACCTCTGATGAAGATTAAAGGTGACCTGGAACCATAAGCTATAGCACCCCAAACCATAACTCCAACAGTGTGATGAACATGTCTTTCAACAAAAAACTGTGGATTCCTCCTTTTACCACGTCGCCTTCTAAGCCTGGCACGACCATCGTGCATGCCTAAACTAAAGACAATACTGTTCCATTCCTGATCCCAGAGTGACCATTGTCTGCACCACTCAAGGCGATTACGTCGGTGTTCTCGAGTTAAAGGGAGGACCCAGTGTGGCCGGTATGAAAACAAGCCAAAACTTCTCATTCGTCGGTAAACACTTCGCATGCCAATAGGTCTTCCGTGTTCTGCAAACCATTCATTTGCAATGGACCTGGTAATGGAGAAACGGTCCCTTAAGGCCAATAACCTTAGGCGGCGATCTTCACGGTCTGTTGTTCTACGGCGGCGTCCAGTGCCCCTTGCTCTTTGCGTACGGCCTTCTCGAAGCCATGCCTGACAACACCTAACCACAGTGTCTACACTTCTTTGCAATAGCCCGAAAAGAAAGTCCAGCTTCCCGAAGTCCCACTATCAAACTCACTAAGTTGACGAAATCGTACAGGTCTCCGTACTCTAGGCATCGTAACCGATCGTAAAGGATGTCAAGAACCAAAATCCGCCAACGTTGATTCTTTACTGCGGCTGAAATATTAATTTTTAGAGCGTTAGTGAATTAAAAAAAAAAGCAGTATAAAAACCGGAATGTCCAACTGATAAGGCTGAAAATTTTTTCACTTGTTACTTACAGTAAGATAAATACATTCACCAACTTTTATTAAAATAAAACCATTTAAACTGGGTGTTCGGATTTATATGTCACTTAGTATATTTTAAGGACGAAATAGCTTCGTGGATTTTGGAAAGTGGTCCAGTGACCGGGAAGAAAAATTCCAAGAACGAAAAAACATAAAATCGGTCAAACATTATTTTTTCACGTTTCCGAAGATCCAGAGCATTTTTGAAAAAAAATGCGTACAAACAATGATGTGTCAATTTTTTATGTTAGTATATTTTTATACCCTCCCAACCCAGATATCTGCGCACCAATTAGCCACACTTCACATATCTTAGGACTCTCCGTACATTTGTCTTCAAAACTTGGAATGATAGATAAACGTTTTTGATACGC